TCACCTGTGTCACCTGTGTCACCTGTGTCACCTGTGTCATCTGTGTCACCTGTCCCAGATCGGGCCCCGTCTGACGCTGCAGCTGCTGAAGGTGGAGGAGGGGCTGGGCCAGGGCAACGTCCTGTACCACGGGCTGGGTGAGTGACAGGTGAGGGACACCTGGGGACACCTGGGGACACACCTGTACCACGGGCTGGGTGAGTGACAGGTGAGGGACACCTGGGGACACCTGGGGACACACCTGTACCACGGGCTGGGTGAGTGACAGGTGAGGGACACCTGGGGACACCTGGGGACACACCTGTACCACGGGCTGGGTGAGTGACAGGTGAGGGACACCTGGGGACACCTGGGGACACACCTGTACCACGGGCTGGGTGAGTGACAGGTGAGGGACACACCTGGGGACACCTGGGGACACACCTGTACCACGGGCTGGGTGAGTGACAGGTGAGGGACACACCTGGGGACACCTGGGGACACACCTGTACCACGGGCTGGGTGAGTGACAGGTGAGGGGGACACCTGGGGACACACCTGTACCACGGGCTGGGTGAGTGACAGGTGAGGGACACCTGGGGACACCTGGGGACACACCTGTACCACGGGCTGGGTGAGTGACAGGTGAGGGACACACCTGGGGACACCTGGGGACACACCTGTACCACGGGCTGGGTGAGTGACAGGTGAGGGACACACCTGGGGACACACCTGTACCACGGGCTGGGTGAGTGACAGGTGAGGGACACACCTGGGGACACCTGGGGACACACCTGTACCACGGGCTGGGTGAGTGACAGGTGAGGGACACACCTGGGGACACCTGGGGACACCTGTGACAGTGGGGGGGGGAATCACACCTGCTTAGGTGTATCCAGCTGTGTCCAGCTGTGTCCAGCTGTCTGACAGGTGTATCCAGGTGTGTCCAGGTGTGTCCAGCTGTGTGACAGGTGTATCCAGGTGTGTCCAGGTGTGTGACAGCTGTGTCCAGCTGTGTGACAGGTGTGTCCAGGTGTGTGACAGGTGTGTCCAGCTGTGTGACAGGTGTGTCCAGGTGTGTCCAGGTGTGTCCAGGTGTGTGACAGGTGTGTCCCCCGCAGCCCCCAAAGGTGAGGCGGAGCTGGGGGCTCTGCGGGCCCGGCGGGAGCAGCGGCTGCAGGTGAGGGCGGAGCGGCGCCGGCAGCAGGAGCAGAACCTGGAGAGGAAACGGCAACAGCGGCTACGGGACAGGTGAGGGGGGGAGGGGCACAGGTGAGACTGGGGCACAGGTGAGACTGGGGGGGCTCAGGTGAGGATGAGGGGCTCTCCCAGGTGAGACTTTCCAGGTGAGACCCCCTCACCTGTCCCACCCTCACCTGTCCCACCTGTGTCACCCCCAGGGAGCGCAGCCTGGCCGGGATGGGCCGGAGCTCAGGTGACCCCAGGGGGGGCTCAGGTGACCCCAAAGGTGGCCCAGGTGACCCCAGGGGTGGCCCAGGTGACCTCAGCGGTGACAGCGGCGCCGAGGACCCCGGCGCACCTGAGCCAGGTGAGGGGGAGGAGCCATCGGACGAGGACGATGCCGAATATTACAGACAGGAGCTGGGGGAGGAGCCTGAGCCAGGTGAGCTGGGGGAGGGGCTGGGGTGGGGGAGGGGCCAGGTGAGCTTGGAGGCGGGGAGAGGAAATTTTGGGGTTTCCAGGTGAGTTTTGGGGAGAAAAAAAGAGATTTTGGAGTTTCTGGATGAGTTTTGGGGCCGTCAAAGGGAATTTTGGGAGGATCCAGGTGAATTTTGGGGTCTCCAGGTGAATTTTTGGGCAGTTCCAGGTGGTTTTTGGGGTTTCCAGGTGAGTTTTGGGGAGAAAAAAAGAGATTTTGGAGTTTCTGGATGAGTTTTGGGGCCGTCAAAGGGAATTTTGGGAGGATCCAGGTGAATTTTGGGGTCTCCAGGTGAATTTTTGGGCAGTTCCAGGTGGTTTTTGGGGTTTCCAGGTGAGTTTTGGGGAGAAAAAAAGAGATTTTGGAGTTTCTGGATGAGTTTTGGGGCCGTCAAAGGGAATTTTGGGAGGATCCAGGTGAATTTTGGGGTCTCCAGGTGAATTTTTGGGCAGTTCCAGGTGGTTTTTGGGGTTTCCAGGTGAGTTTTGGGGAGAAAAAAAGAGATTTTGGAGTTTCTGGATGAGTTTTGGGGCCGTCAAAGGGAATTTTGGGAGGATCCAGGTGAATTTTGGGGTCTCCAGGTGAATTTTTGGGCAGTTCCAGGTGGTTTTTGGGGTTTCCAGGTGAGTTTTGGGGAGAAAAAAGAGATTTTGGAGTTTCTGGATGAGTTTTGGGGCCGTCAAAGGGAATTTTGGGAGGATCCAGGTGAATTTTGGGGTCTCCAGGTGAATTTTTGGGCAGTTCCAGGTGGTTTTTGGGGTTTCCAGGTGAGTTTTGGGGCGGGTTGAGTTTTCCCCTCCCCGGAAGTGGCTGATGACACAAAATTCCTGAATTTCCGTGATTTGGGATCGAAGTAAACGCTCTGACGCTTCCAAAACCCCAAATCCCAGTTCTTTCCCCCCAAATCCCAATTTTTTCTCTTCCCAATTCCCGTTTTTCCCCTCCCAATTCCCGTTTTTCCCTCTTTTTCCCCCAGATTTGTTTCCCGGCCGCTCCAAGAGGAAGCGAAGCCCCTCGGGCGCTCCCCAGGCCCGGAAACGACGGAAGAGGAACCAAAAATCCCAACCTGGGACCCCAAAATCCCGGCCAGGACATCCTGGAATTCCCAAATCCCAACGGAGAACCCCCAAATTCCGTCCTGGATCCCAAAAATCCCAACCTGGGACCCCGAAATCCCAACCTGGGACCCCAAAACCCCGGCCAGGACATCCTGGAATTCCCACATCCCAACGGAGAACCCCCAAATTCCGTCCTGGATCCCAAAAATCCCAACCTGGGACCCCGAAATCCCAACCTGGGACCCCGAAATCCCACCCAAGACAGCCTGGAATTCCCAAATCCCAACGGGGAACCCCAAAATCCCAACGGGGAACCCCAAAATCCCATCCTGGATCCCCCAAATCCCATCCTGGATCCCAAAAACCCCGCCCAGGACATCCTGGAATTCCCAAATCCCAGCCCAGGGAACCCGGAACCCCCAAATCCCACCCGGGACATCCCAAAAACCCCAAATCCCAGCGGGGGAAGCTCCTGAACCCCCGGAAAATCCCAAATTTCCAACGGCCCCGAAGGGCCCGGAAAGGGAAAAACTGAGGGGGAGAAAAACCGGGAATTTGGGACCCCCTGACCCCCCTGGGATTGGGAATTTGGGGTCCCTCAGAATTTTGGGATCCCCCAGGGCAGTTTTGGGGTCTCCAGGTGAATTTTTGGGCGGTTCCAGGTGGATTTTTGGGGTTTTCCAGGTGAGTTTTGGGCTGGGGTGGGGCCGATCCCTCTCTTCCCCTCCCCGGAAGTGGCTGATGACGCAGAATTCCTGAATTTCCGTGATTTGGGATCGAAGTAAACGCTCTGACGCTTCCAAAACCCCAAATCCCAGTTCTTTCCCCCCAAATCCCAATTTTTTCTCTTCCCAATTCCCGTTTTTCCCCTCCCAATTCCCGTTTTTCCCTCTTTTTCCCCCAGATTTGTTTCCCGGCCGCTCCAAGAGGAAGCGAAGCCCCTCGGGCGCTCCCCAGGCCCGGAAACGACGGAAGAGGAACCAAAAATCCCAACCTGGGACCCCAAAATCCCAACCTGGGACCCCAAAATCCCAACCTGGGACCCCGAAATCCCAACCTGGGACCCCAAAACCCCGGCCAGGACATCCTGGAATTCCCAAATCCCAACGGAGAACCCCCAAATTCCGTCCTGGATCCCAAAAATCCCAACCTGGGACCCCGAAATCCCAACCTGGGACCCCGAAATCCCACCCAAGACAGCCTGGAATTCCCAAATCCCAACGGGGAACCCCAAAATCCCAACGGGGAACCCCAAAATCCCATCCTGGATCCCCCAAATCCCATCCTGGATCCCAAAAACCCCGCCCAGGACATCCTGGAATTCCCAAATCCCAGCCCAGGGAACCCGGAAGCCCCAAATCCCACCCGGGACATCCCAAAAACCCCAAATCCCAGCGGGGGAAGCTCCTGAACCCCCGGAAAATCCCAAATTTCCAACGGCCCCGAAGGGCCCGGAAAGGGAAAAACTGAGGGGGAGAAAAACCGGGAATTTGGGACCCCCTGACCCCCCTGGGATTGGGAATTTGGGGTCCCTCAGAATTTTGGGATCCCCCAGGGCAGTTTTGGGGTCTCCAGGTGAATTTTTGGGCGGTTCCAGGTGGATTTTTGGGGTTTTCCAGGTGAGTTTTGGGCTGGGGTGGGGCCGATCCCTCTCTTCCCCTCCCCGGAAGTGGCTGATGACGCAGAATTCCTGAATTTCCGTGATTTGGGATCGAAGTAAACGCTCTGACGCTTCCAAAACCCCAAATCCCAGTTCTTTCCCCCCAAATCCCAATTTTTTCTCTTCCCAATTCCCGTTTTTCCCCTCCCAATTCCCGTTTTTCCCTCTTTTTCCCCCAGATTTGTTTCCCGGCCGCTCCAAGAGGAAGCGAAGCCCCTCGGGCGCTCCCCAGGCCCGGAAACGACGGAAGAGGAACCAAAAATCCCAACCTGGGACCCCGAAATCCCAACCTGGGACCCCAAAATCCCAACCTGGGACCCCAAAATCCCGGCCAGGACATCCTGGAATTCCCAAATCCCAACGGGGAACCCCCAAATCCCAACCTGGGACCCCGAAATCCCAACCTGGAACCCAAAAAATCCTGTTCTAAAACCTTAAAAATCGCATTCTAAATCCCAAAATTCTGCTCTGGAACCCCAAAAATTCAGTTCCGGAACCCCGAAAAAATCTGGTCCAGAACCCCGAAAATTCCCGATCTAGAACCCCGGAATTCTGCTCTGGAACCCCAAAAATTCTGCTCTGGAACCCCAAAATTCCGCTCCGGAACCCCGAAAATCCCATTATAAAGAGCTCAGAAATCGCATCTAAATCCCAAAAATTCCGCTCTGGAACCCCAAAAAATTCCCGCTCTAGAACCCCAAAATTCTGCTCCGGAACCCCAAAAAAGTCCTGATCTAGAACCCCAAAAATTCTGCTCTGGAACCCCAAAATTTCGCTCCTGAACCCCGAAATTCCGCTCTGGAATCCCAAAAATTCCCGATCTAGAACCCCAAAATTCTACTCTGGATCCTCAAAAAATTCTGCTCCGGAACCCCAAAAATTCCCGATCTAGAACCCCAAAAATTCCGCTCTGGAACCCCAAAAAATTCCCGATCTAGAACCCCAAAATTCTGCTCCGGAACCCCAAAATTTCGCTCCTGAACCCTGAAATTCCGCTCTGGAATTCCAAAAATTCCCGATCTAGAACCCCAAAATTCTACTCTGGAACCCCCCAAAAAAAATCTGCTCTGGAACCCCAAAAATTCCCGATCTAGAACCCCAAAATTCTGCTCCGGAACCCCAAAATTTCGCTCTGGAACCCCAAAAAAATTCTGATCTGGAACCCCGAAATTTCCCGATCTAGAACCCCAAAATTCTGCTCCGGAACCCCAAAATTCCGCTCTGGAACCCCAAAAAAATTCTGCTCCGGAACCCCAAAAATTCCCGATCTAGAACCCCAAAATTCTGCTCTGGAACCCCAAAAAAAATTCTGCTCTGGAATCCCGAAAAATTCCCCGATCTAGAACCCCCAAATTCTGCTCCGGAACCCCAAAATTTCGCTCTGGAACCCCAAAAAAAAAATTCTGCTCTGGAACCCCGAAAATTCCCGATCTAGAACCCCAAAAATTCTGCTTCGGAACCCCAAAATTTCGCTCCTGAACCCCGAAATTCCGCTCTGGAACCCCGAAAATTCCCCGATCTAGAACCCCAACATTCTACTCTGGAACCTCAAAAAATTCTTCTCTGGAACCCAAAAAATTCCCGATCTAGAACCCCAAAATTCTGCTCCGGAACCTCAAAAAATTCTGCTCCGGAACCCCAAAA